TCAAGAACGTATTTCTTTTGAGTAACATCAAGAGTGAAAGAAAAATCTAAGTTTAGGGTGTTGATTTTGACTGTAGTTGCTTGAGGACAAGCAACCTCTCAAGTTTGGGGTGGTGGACATCATACATGTTACTAATACATGTCAAAAAAATTTGCTTAAATTTGAAGAAAAAGAGTGGTTGCCAAAGTCCAAGAAATCATAAAGAAAGAATAAAAAAGGAAAGAAAATAAAATGAAGCAAGGTCCAAAAGATTGAAGAGATCTTCACATATTGAAAAATGATGAAAAACAAGGTGAAAGAATGCTTGAACCTCTTAGGCTACCTCATTTGATGCATTTCATTCTAATTGTTGTATTCACTCACTCAAAAGGAGTCCCTTATCTGGAAAACCCACTTGAGGTTTTGACCCTCCTTGATCAAATTGAACCTTACCTATCCCTATTTGTGACCAACCAAGTCCTTTTGATAGGTAAATCATTGTATTAAGGCAAAGGATATTGAGAATATGGGCAAGCATATGGTACGGTAGAGAAAATTGCATGTATTGAGGGAAAATACCAAACTTGAAACACTGACGAGTGAAGAGTGAAACACCACCTTGTGAGCTAGATAATTTCCTTGCATTGCGTGAAGTATAATGAACCTTGTTGAATTTTTGTTTCACTTGTATGAGACTTTGCATAAAATTAATTGATGAGTGTGCTTTCTTTGTTGAATGACTCCATGATTTTGAAATAGAGGAATTGTATATTAAAGTTGAAAGATTGGAATAGAAAAATTTTGAGAAAACTTTTTTTTTTGGATAAGTCCAACCCTTATTACTTAAGTCCTTGAATTTTGGTTTGCTTGAGGACAAGCAAAAGTTTAAGTTTAGGGTTGTGATGAATCCATATTTTACTAAATTTTTATACATCATTTATTACTTTTTATAGAAAAGAATAGACTTAGATAGTGTAAATAAGATGAATATTCCAATTAGGCTAAATAATATAGGTTTCTTAGTTTTTGGTTAATTTACATTAATTTAGATAGTTTATTTTACATGTTTTGATCATTTGAATATTATGGCAGGAATGCCCAAGCTTATTTTGAAGAATTATTGGATTTTGAGGAATTTGAGGTGAAAGTAACTACTTTCAAGATTGATAGTGACCACTACAACAAGCTACTTCCAGCAAAGGGACCAAAGTGGTCACATTCAAAGCTAAAAGTGACGACTACAGCAGCCCAGAATCCACTAAGCCTGCGCGTGGCTACTATGAAAGTTCATAGTAGTCACTCCAGAGCGTGCAGAATTGAAGGTGTTGCGTGTAGCTACTATCAAAGTTCATAGTAGTCACTCTAGAGAGCCCAAAATGTACTAGTGTTGCGCGTGTCTACTATGAAAGAATGAAAGTAATCACTTTGGAAGGCGCCAACCTTAGTATAAATAGATTTTTGCCGAATTAGGGTAGAGAGCTCTTACACTTTTCGTACCTTTTCTCTTCTTTACTAAATTAGGACATTTTCCAGAGCTTAGGGCAACCTTGGGTGACAACCAAGAGTCTAACCTAGGGTTTGGTTTCTCATTTCTCTTACTTTTACATTAATGCCAATGAGTTTTTTGCATTTCCAAACTGTGTTTTTGACCCCCATTTTCATGGAGGGCTAAATTTTTGTGTAATCCTTAGTGAGTTCACATGGATTCTTGAGTTCCTTGATTTTAATGATAATATAACTCCTTTCTTTTCATGAATTACTTCTTCCTTGCCTCTTGAATTGAATTAATGGTGAATAAGGGGGACATTGCTTAATGATAAATGCTTTCTATACTTGATCCTACATTGTAATTCATGAATGATAATTGAGAGTTTTAAGCTATTCATTGAGAAAATTTACTATTATTAATTTTATTTTATTCATATTTCAGGAAAAAGGATCAAGAAGTGAAAGCCTTAAAGATGTCAAGAATTGAAGAAAAAGAAACCAGAGATATACACGGGCAAGTACATGCCCGTGTATATGAGCGTGTATCTTACTGGTCGCGTCAATTGAAGTGTATCATCAAGACCAGAGATGTACACGGCCAGATACATGGCCGTGTACATGAGCATGTACTTTTATGGAAAGCTTTGAAAGGCGTCTATTAGAAAACAGAGATGTACACGGCCAAGTACATGGCCGTGTACTTGGGCGTGTACTTTTACGCGCGTCAGAAATTTAACTTTTGCGAGAAAATTAACCCTAGGATAATTTCTATAAAAGGAGAACTGAACTCAAACCTAAAGTGGAGGAGGTTTTTGGAGACGAAAGACTCAGAGACGGCAAGAGGATGGGATTAAGCATTTTATTTCATCTCTTTTGTAATTTTAATTTGAAGATGTTTAGGTTCTAATTTTCCTTTGAGTATCTAGACGTAATGAATCCTAATTGACTAAATTTTCTGGAATTCTTCTAATGCTATTTCATGTTCTTTACTCTTGGGTTTAATTTAGTAGTATCAATTTTCTCTATCTTGTTTTCTTGTTTGAATTTGAGTAAAATTCCTGCATGAAATTAACATTGCTCAATTAAAAAGACTTGAATGTATTTCTAGAGATAGAAAGACGTGAGTTTTCTGTATTAGGATTAACCCTAATTATGGAATTCATAATGAACTTAATGCAACCTAGGGGTATTAATTAAGGAAGAGATTCCGATTAATCAACTGAGGGCTAGGAATCATTATCCTTGAGAAAGGTATTGATTTAATTTGGAATTTCCTGCAGCGATAAGGGTTTGGAACTAAGTAGTTGAAGAAGAATTTCAGTTATTTGGACACTTAGGGGGATTTACAGTCTAGATACTTGCCTTTTTACATTGAATACTTTTATTCATAATTTTCTATAATTTATTTTCACTAGAATATCTGTTCCTTTTAATTTATTATTCTTTTACTTTTAACAATTTCATCAACAAGGTTTATTTTTCATATTTATTAACAATTACGCAATTAAGGAAAAGTTTCTTAATAACAGTCCCTGTGGATACGACACTTGGTACTTTAATTTTAATTTTAATAAAATTACTTCGACAACGGGTACACTTGCCCAGTGATCAGATTTTTACACACCACTTAATTAACCCTAATTCGTTTTAAGGAGATTCTAAAGTAGGGATTGCTTAATCCTGGGTTTAATTCTAAGGTTGCGTAATCTTGGGATGAGGGATTAGAGCCTAACAAATTGCGTAATTTCGTTGGGATCATAAGGTTGATTTTCGCTTGTTAAATTAACCTAATTCATGGGAGAGAGGATGAGTGTTAAATCTTGAGTGGAATGAGGATAGAATCTATGTGGATGAACTAAGGATTGCTGCTTTCTATTGTTTGAATTAATTAAACTTGTTTGCTTACTGCTCCTTATATTGTTTTGAAACCACAAAACACCCCATTTTAATTGCTTGTTCAATTAATGCCTTCAACATGTTTAATAAAGATTAATAGCCAATGTTCATGAGAGACAATCTAGGGTAACCCTAGTACTACATTAATTTGTTTAAATTTTGATGAGGATTTGTGACAAATCTTTAAAACAAAACATGAAAACGCATCATCAACGACCGTACTTAAAGATTGGGAACTCATCTCATTCTAGTTTGCTTTTCTCTATGGATTTGTTTATAATTGTTTTAGTTCTTTTCTTTAGCATGAGTAACTAAGTCCATAGATAGGGCTATCAGAACTATTGTTCATGAATTTATGAGATTTTGATGTTTGAATCTAAATTTGATTTTTGTTCTGTGATTAGATTTTATTCTATTGCGCTTCTCTCTTAATCCTAATTAATTATATTGTCAGGCAACCGTACCTCGGTTAATTAATAGATCTATAGGATAAAACGAGACAAAGGATTAGGTGGACCAAACCAATCTTTCTTTTCTAATCATTATTAAATTAACAAGTTCATAAGTTCCTTAAGGTTTCTTAAATTGGTGTCTTGCATGACCATTGAGGATGTTAATTTAGAGAAAAGAATATTAATATTGCATGACCATTGGGTATTAATAGTACTCGTATGAATGATTGGTAATCACAAGAAAATCAGATTTAGAGTTAAATAGAAAAATAACATAAAGGATTGAATGAGAAAGCCCATATACCTTAGGTTCCTCTCCGATAAGCTTAACCAAGACGTGCATTGTATCCCTTGCTCTTAGTTTCATAATTGATTTTATAAATTCTTGTTTTAATTAATCTCGTATGTTTGAAGCTTAAACAATTGAATTAGGAAATTCTTAGTAATTAGAAATCAATCCTTGTGGGACGATATTTTGGGAACTTAATTTAAGAACCCTTTATTACTTCTCGATGGGTACACTTGCCCTCCGAACAAGTTTTTAGCGTCATTGTCGGGGATTGCTTTTTCAATGTTAAGAAAATCTCAAATTTAATTGATTTGAGCAATTTGTGTTTTGCTTTATTTTAATTCTATTTTGTTTATAGTTAATTTTTTTAATTTTTGTATTTTATTTTATTTTATTTATTTTATAATTTCTTTTAATGTATGCTCACTCGTTCTAAGTACTCTACAACTTGTTTATTTGATTCAGAGATTGAACAAATAGTCCGTAGACAAAGAAAAGAAGTGAGAGAGCAAAGAAAGGCAGAGGGAAGAAGATCAATTCAAGATTACATGAAACCTATTGCTAGAGGCACTCTTGGAAGCATCGCGGCCCCTAATGTGGAGGCCAACAATTTTGAACTTAAACTAGCACTAATAACCATGGTCCAGAACTCCATACAGTTTGGAGGCAGGCCTAACGAAGACCCCAATCTCCATCTGACAAAGTTTCTCTGATTAAGGGATATCATTAAATACAATGGAGTCTTCAACAATGCTATTCAACTCTGCCTTTTCCCCTTTTCGGTATCTGAAAAGGTGAATGCATGGTTTTCCTCACTCCTAGCCAATTCCATCACAACTTGGGAGGATCTCACTCAACAATTCTTATGAAAGTACTTTTGCCCATCAAGGTCCTCTAAGCTTATGACAGAGATATGTTGCCTCTAACAATATGAAAGCAAAATCCTTATTAGAGACATGGGAGCGGTTTGGAGAGCTTTTGAGGAGGTGTCCTCATCATAATTTGGTGCAAATCTTTTACAGTGACCTATTAATCACCACCAGGGCTATAATTGATGTCGCAACATGAGGGTCCCTCATAAGAAAAGATCCAGATGATACATACAAGCTCATAGATGAGATGACATCTTCTAGCTTTTAGTGGTACACTGCTGACTCTTACGACATCAAGAGGAAGGAGACCACCCTGGTGTTATAAGATTTCTAAACACTAGCAAGTGCACTAGGAATTACAGCAAGTAATGAGTAAATTTAAGATCCAAGTATCGTCTCCACAGGAAATTAGGAATTCAATTACCACTTCACAGAGCAATAACTAGTTGAGCCATACGAATTTGGAAGGTTTGTAACATGTAAAAGTAATAAACCAGGACAATAAGAGGTATTAAATTTGCTGTAAAAACAGAGTACGAATTTTGTGTTAAGATAAGATATGAATGAAGGATAGTTAGGAATTTATTTCACTAGGATATCAATATCAATTCAACTATGTCTCTGAACATTCAAGTAATTGGTTAATTGACAATCAGTTTCTCATATTAATAGTCAAAGGTTAATCCCTTAACTCATTGACCCTAACAATCAACTAAACCAACCTAATCCATTAGGTGAAGTTCAATTTCAAGTTGCATGAAGAATCAGAACCATAGGACTGTAGAATTAAGTTCACTTATCCCTAAGAAATCCCTAATTCTGGTAGTTAATTCAAATATGAGAATCAATTCCAATTCCCATTGGTAAAGTTCCTCTTTTATTAATCAATTGAATTTCCATTCAAAGATTACATTGACAACAGAATTAACCACTCAATTAATCCAAGAACTCAAAGTTCAGAGTCAAGAATCAAATCAATACATCTATTCCATATCCACAAACTCCTAACTACGAAGAATTAAGCAAGCATTGCAACAAAGAAAGAGAAAGAAGGAGTAGAAGAGGAAGAACGCAGAAGCATCATCTTCAATCGATCCCCAATCTAATCCCTCTAGGTTAGAGCTCGATGTTCTTCCCCAATCCTCTCCCTGACTCTCTCTGAACGAAGAAATGAAGTAAAAACAAAAAATGAGCAAAAAGATCCAGAAATCTGAGCTTTCTCTGGTATTTATAGAATTCCTGCCTCTGCGTGTTATCACTATGCTCCACAAGAGTGGCCACGCAAAGGCTTATATAGTTTCTGGAAGACTGGAACAATCACTTTTGTTGATAAAAGTGGTAACACAGGAGGTCTAGTAGTGCGCGTTTTCACTTTCCTAAGTTAAAGTGGCCACGCGCTAGTTGCCTTGGTACACTTCTCTCTAGAACATCCACTTTCGCTAGCAAGAGTAACCACGCGCTACCCGCTATGTGTGAAGCTCTTTTGGAATGAGGACTTTCGCTGATAAGAGTGGTCACACACAACTTTACTGAAATTAAAGTCCTCTGGAACGCTCACTCTCGCCAGCGAAAGTGATAACACATAACATGTTCTTCTGAGAAACTCTCTGGAACACTCACTTTCGCTGATAAGAGTGACCACGCCCAGACTATATTCCATAATTCTTGTTCTTTGAGTCCAGAATTGCTACTCTTCCACTATCTTTCCATTGATCTTCCATCTTCATGAACTTTACTCAGATTATTCCTACAAAAACATGATTAAATTCTTAATTTCTACACAGAAAATTCACAGATGTTAAAATAACTATGTATTTAAAGAAAACCTTCAATCATTCTATTTTTATGAGTTTTTCTGCTTTTTCTAACATTTTTTTTCCTTATCAAATGGGTTAAAACTATAGTAAAATACTAGTAAACTATGGATTCATCACTATCCCAAACTTGAATTTTTGCTGTCCTCAAGCAAATCAAACCACACAAAGGGTAAGTTCCTCCATTTTTCAAAATCAATTAACAGACCACTTTTCTCAGGATTTTCCAATTTATAATTTTGTGTTTTTCTAATTTTTAATTCAATCAAGTTATTCATCCAACTACTCATCATGATAATCACATTGCATTAATCATACTCTGAGTAAGAATTGCTATCTGAGTTCATATATTTCAGCAAAGTTCATGTGAGCAATAATTAAGAAACATGATCACAGCTCACTAGAAGTGTTTCCCTCATCACTCAACAATATTTAGGCTACTGTTTTCTCTCTAAATCATTAATTTTACTACACTACCATAGGCTTGCATATATTCTCAATCTCCTTGATGAATCCATATTTTACTAGTATTTTACAATAGTTTTTAGTGCAATTAATAAAGAAAACATGCTAGAAATAGTAGAAAACCCTTAAAAAAAATAATAAAATGTTGCATGTCACTTTTAAACATAGTTATTTTAAAATTCAATGATTTTCTATGTAAAAAGTGACATTTCAAGTATGTTTTTGTAGGGAATTCTGAGCTAAGTTCATGAGGATTGGATGATCAAAGGAAAAATAGAAAAAAAGTAGCAAAAATTGGAGGAAAGAAGTTGATAATTGAAGAACAGCCTCTGAGTGATCACTTTCGCTGGTGAAAGTGATCACTCCAGAACCATAAAATGGAAAAGAGCTTTTGCGTAATCACTTTTTCTGGAAAAAGTGAGCGTTCCAGAGAGTGCTCCAAGAAGAGTAGCTGCGCGTGTTCACTATTATCAGCAAAAGTGAACACGCGCAAGAAAGCAGCTTCTGCGTGTTCACTATTTCCAGCAGAAGTGAACACGCGCATGACATTAGCAAAGGAAGATTTTGCGTAGCTACTATTTTCAACAAAAGTGAACACTTTGAAGTGCACGTGGCTACTATCACCAGCAAAAGTGAACACGCGCAAGTGGAAATGAAGAATTAGCCTCTGCGTGATTACTATTGCTGGAAAAAGTGATCACGCCAGCAAAGCAGGAATTCTATAAAAGGCAGTTAGCTCAGGAATTTAGGAGTTTTTTGTTCATATTTTATTTTCCATTTGTTTTTGTTGTTGAGAGAGTCAGAAAGGGAGATTGAGGACGAACACCAAGCTTCATTTCTTGAGGGATCAGATTGGAGATTGGCTTGAAGATATTTCTTCTTTGTTCATTCTCTTCTTCTCTTCTCTTCTCTTCTCTTTTTGTAATGTTTGCCTAAACTCTTTGTGGTTAGGAATTGTGAATCTGAAATGGAAATGTTGAATTGATTTTGGATCTAAATTTTGAGTTTTGGATTGGATTGAGTGATTGATTCTGCTGTTAAAGTAGTGATTGAATGGAAATTTGATCAACTAATCATAGAGGAACTCTTATCAATGGGAATTGAAGTTGTTTCTCAGATTTGAATTAATTGCCAAGGTTATTGGTTTCTTAGGGATAAGATATCTTAATCTTGCAATCTTTTGGTTTCTCAAACTTAATGCAGTATTTGATTGGATTAGATCTAAGGGATTGGAGTGATTTGATTAGATGCTAGATTCATTGAGGCAAGGGATTGTCCTTTGATTAATACAACGTGAAACTGATTGTCATTCCATCTAAATGCTTGAAAGTTCAGAACTTTATTGATTCAATGTTGAAGTTTTGGTGAAACAATTTCCTAACTACTCTTTCTACATCTGTTTACTATATACTTTTGTACTAAATATTCTGTTTTACTTTCTAATTTTATTTTTGATACATTCATACCAATTGTATCTGAAATTTGTAAAGCTCAACTAATTGTGATCTTGTGAAGTGGTAATTGAGAACTTTATTCCCTGAGGATGATACTTTGAACTCAATTTGATTCTAAGATTTTTTATAACTTGCTACAACAACACTAGTACACTTGCTAGTCAGTTTACCTTCATTGCAACAACAGTTGTAAAGAGTGTGACAAGTTTTTGGCGCCGTTGCCGGGAAATAATTTGTTTCAATATCATTAGTAACAGGAAAATAACTAGATTGAGCATTTGTTTCTTTAAATTTTCTGCAACTATTACATTACATGTGCAGTTTTCTGTTTTCATTATACTATATCTGTGTTTAGTTGTATATGCGTGGGAAAAAACAAAATTAAATCTACTCTTGTCTTTGATCCTGACATTGATAGAACTCTTAGGAGATTAAGAAAAGAGACTAGAGCAGAGAGATCTGTAGGAAGTGACAGTGATTTAGAGGTTATACATTCTCCAGAATTTCAAGTCACTCCTTTTGCAAATAGGAAACATTCACCGTTTAGACAACCAACTCCAAAAGTTGAAATGGCAGAACAACAGAGAATGAGAACACTAGGAGATTATGCAATTCCAGATATGCAAGGCTATAATTCTTCAATTGTTAGACCAACCATTCAAGCCAATCATTTTGAGATAAAACTAGCCTTACTTCACCTAGTGCAGCAGGACCAATTTTCTGGTGGAATTTCTGATGATCCTAATCTGCATATTTCTAATTTTCTGCAGTTGTGTGATACTATAAGGATGAATGGAGTAAGTGAAGATGCTATAAGACTGAGGCTATTTCCATTTTCTTTAAGAGACAAAGCCAAATGTTGGTTACAAGCACAGCCTCAGGGAAGTATCACCACATGGACTGAACTTATGAATAAATTTCTAACAAAATATTTTCCTCCCTCAAAAGTTGCTAAGCTGAGAGGAGAAATAACATCGTTTGTGCAGCAGGAAGGAGAATCACTTTATGAAGCATGGGAAAGATATAAAGAGTTGCTGAGAAGAGGTCCACATCATTGTATTCCAGAATGGATGCAATGTCACACTCTTTACAACTGCTGTTGCAATGAAGGTAAACTGACTAGCAAGTGTACTAGTGTTGTTGTAGCAAGTTATAAAAAATCTTAGAATCAAATTGAGTTCCAAGTATCGTCCTCAGGGAATAAAGTTCTCAATTACCACTTCACAAGATCTCAATTAGTTAAGCTTTACAAATTTCAAATGGAATTGGTATGAATGCATCAAAACGAAATTAGAAAGTAAAACAGAACAGTTAGTACAAAAGTATATAGTAAACAGATGTAGAAAGAGTAGTTAGGAAATTGTTTCACCAAAACTTCAACATTGAATCAATAAAGTTT